ATTTTTACACTGTATGTAAATGATCTCCCAAGTATAGGACAGCCTCCAATGTTATTATACGCTGACGAAGTAAAAATCTGGCGAGTAATAGCTGGAGACGCAGACGCATGCGCTCTTCAGGTGGACTTAAATAATATGATTAACTGGTCTAAAGGGTTGCTGATGCCTATCAATGCGGCAAAGTACGTCTACATGAACTTTGAGGATACCAAGGTTAATAGAAACATCCTAGAGGAAGTGGCTGTACCCGTGGTCCGGTCTCATAAAGATCTTGGGGTCACAGTGAATTATAATCTCAAGACGACGGCTCATTGCCGTTAGGTCGCATTTAGGTGGTTTAGAACGCCCTAGTCTTTAAAACACTAAGTTAGATACTATCATGTTCACCACAGTATACGCAACCATAATGAGAACTAAGCTTGAGAACTGCGTTCAGGCTGCAAACCCCTGTTTAAAAGGTGACTTGGATATCCTAGAAAAAGTACAGAGGACAGCCACCCATGCAAGTCCAAAACTTTGTGGTTTACCATACAAATGCTGAACCATTTCAGTCTGTCCTATTGCAAACTGAGGGGAGATCTAATTTTCATGTACAGAATACTGAGAAAGGATTTTGGACCTAACTTATTTTCTCTTTTTCCTCCCACTAAAATGGACATCTCAGAGGGCATAGCAGGCGAGTAGGAAAGCCAAGAGCTAACAAAATACCCGTGGCATACAGGTTTTTACATTGAATCATCAATACCTGTTATCCGAAGCAGTGGTGTCCGCACCTTCAATCGACTATGATGATTAGGAGTATTTGAATTATAGTACTAACTAAGAATCTCAGAAATGACGCTATTGAATAAAGAAGTACTACACAAACACTAACGAATGTACTGTATTCGAAATTCAAAATCGTGCATTCAACAAGTACAAAGGAATAATCAGTTCATTCAAACACCACATCGACTCATCCAAGAGAAGAATGGACACTCATAGAAGCATACTAGAAAAGGAATAACATAGACCGTCCTTACTACACAAATCTGAATCTGAAAAATGTCTGCCAAAGACTGACTTACTGTTATTCACTGCCTGATGTTTGATTTTAACGTACTCGGACCACCTAACACTCCATTCTTTGCTTTATATAGTCTACAAGTGATGTAGTAACATCATATGAAAATCTAGCAATGACGGGTCATGTACAAAGTTGACTGAAAGCATATCGGTTGCCTGGGGCTTAAGGACGTGATAACTTACTTACTTACTTACGCCTGTTACTCCTCGTGAAGGAGCATAGGCCGCTCACCAGCATTCTCCATCCAACCCTGTCCTGGGCAATCCTTTCAAGCTCTTTCCAATTCTTATTCATCTTTTTCATATCAGCTTCTATTTCCCGACGTAATGTGTTCTTTGGCCTTCCTCTTTTCCGCTTCCCTTCAGGATACCAAGTTAGCGCTTGTCTCGTATTGCAGTTTGATGATTTCCTCAATGTATGTCCTATCCATTTCCATCGTCTTTTCCTAATTTCCTCTTCAGCTGGAAGCTGGTTGTTACTACGTGATAAGTGACAATGTAAATAGCTGGCATTTGTTTGCTTTTATATCTCATCTAGTTGCTTCACAAGTCATCTATTCATCAGGCTGATTTGCAGTAGTCGTGTCCTTGTGGTATTTTTAAGAACTAATAATTCCCTATTACTTGATTCCCTGCTTACTGCGTATTACAATATCAGTACGTTCGTTTGTGCTCAGCTAATTCTGCCTGGTTTAGATGGCACTATTTCGGGAACACCTTGTTAGTGAAATAATTCAAATACTTCTAGTTATCCTAGTCCGCCATGCTTTTTAGCAAAGTATTATTCGCAGTTGTACCTTGGAATCCTATCCTCTAATTGAGCTGGGTTTATATATATAAAGGACACGAAGTGCTTGGCCTTGGTGTTGTCCGCAACACCGTTACAACCATACCAGAAATCAAGAATGATGGGGTCCGAAGATGTGTGTGAAGATGTAACAAATATTTGGAGCTTGACAAAGCTTTAACCAGCAACATTTTTTACTATGAATCGTGCCCACCAAGTGAAATAAAAGTCAAAATCGAGGAGGTTCAGAAATTTATTTTATAAGCTATCAATATATAGAGAATCGATTTATCTGTGCTGGCTGGCGATCGTAGGGTATGTTGAGCACGGCGTTCTCACTCGTAATCTGGTGCAGATGCATGACCGAGCGCCTTCGGCAACGTGAGTCCATCAAAAATAATGTGGTCAACATCCAATGTCGAAAACTTACAGAGCTATTTATTTTGGGAATTTATTTACCGCTACAGATCACCCCTTCATAGCGGAGTAGTGATGACATTAAGATGTGGCCAGCCAGAAGTTTAAACCCAACGAGTTCGTCGTTAGTAAACACTGTTCTGATAGCTTGCTATGTTTAGCAACTTCTGGTCGTCTTTCCTTACTATGAGGAGTCACAATATAGTAATAAATAAACAATGTGCAATGAAAATATCGGTTAATTGAGAACTTTGCCGTTCTTTCTCGTCTTTTCTAGCTGTCCTGGAAAAGAATAAAGGATATGTAAGTGCATGTCGAATCACACTCGTACGAGCGTAAAGACACAAAGCGGGCGAAAAAAGGAAAATAAACTCATGCACATGTGGTAGCGTAAAAACGATATTTACAGAGTGGTTTCTTTTGTTCATTTTTTAAAAAAATTTTAATATACATGTATTAGCGAGCGAATTAGCTTAAAAATTGCTTTTCTTTTGGAATAAATACATACACATAGATATTTAAAACAGTTATTCCCCTTGATAAATTTCGATAATGCAATGAGGAGACGAAGTTTATAAGAATTATGTGATATATTAGCGCAATACATTTCGAACAATCTGATCACACATATACTTGTTAAGAGCATCTATATATAAAAAATAAAAGATCAACTAGACAGGTTAAGGGTAAGTCACAACAAAGGAATAAAATGTTAAAGTACACAAAACAAATGTGATTACCACTCTGGATAATAAATCAGTATTACCAGGGTAGGTTAAGTGTAAGTAAAAATTGTTTTTGATCACATAAAGAGGGTTTCAGTTTTCGCATAGCCAAGGCTATCCAGAGTGATAATCACATTTGTTTTGTGTACTTTAACATTTTATTCCTTTGTTATGACTTACCCTTAACCTGTCTAGTTGATCTTTTATTTTTTATATATAGATGCTCTTAACAAGTATATGTGTGATCAGATTGTTCGAAATGTATTGCGCTAATATATCACATAATTCTTATAAACTTCGTCTTCTCATTGCATTATCGAAAGACACATAGATATATTAAAATTTATTTTTTATATTACATGTAATACAAAGAAAAGTCGAGATGAAACAAAATGTTAACTAGTTTCTTACGTGAAATAATCTTTTAAATGTTCTGAAAACCTTGCTCTTTTTCCAGAACGCATTGTCTTGAGTCTATTTTCAGATGCTGCCAAAGTATTATCATGAGTATTGGCTATCGGATTAGGAATAATATGTGTATGAGACATATCGACGTGGATACGGTTTACTTCTAAATACCCTTCCTTGACGCGGTCGATGCTCATGTTGTCGTTAGTTCCGTTCTTATCGATTGTATAGTACTTAGGTTAGAGCTGAGGAACTTTGAATGGTCCTTCGTATATTGATCTGAGAGGTCGTCGATTTGAGTCTGGACTTACAAGTACGTGTATGCTATATCGTAAGTCAGGTTGAACGAAATCATCAGTTGATTGCGGTCGAGTGGAAACAGGCTTAACTGAACGCATTGCGTTTGCATGCCTGATCGTGTAGGAGTTTAGATCCATATTCACTGAAGAATAGGAAGGATCCACAAGTTCTCCTGGAAGCCGAAATGTCGTTCCATAAACGAGTTGAGCTGCAGTGCATCAAACGTCAGCTTTCACTGGATGGCGAATACCAAGTAAGACGAGCAGAAGGGCGTCAGTCCACGGTAAAACGTTTGCAGCTGATAGTGAAGCTTTTAGCTATCACTGAAAGTGTTCTATCAACCTGTCTGATTGTGGGTGGTAGGCATTAGTTCTGAATCGTTTGACTCCTATTAGTGTAGCCAGACAACGGAAAAGTCCAAATTTGTACTGTTTTCCACAGTCTGTTGTGATAGTTGAAGGGCAGCCGAAGTTTGCTACCCATCGTTCGACGAAAACGCAGGCCATTTATATGATTCTTATACATACTGAAGTACAATGATAGCCGATTACGATCATAGTGGTTTACTTATTTACACCGGTTGAATCAATTAGTCAAATCTTAATGAACATTGGATTAAGACATTTTTTGAAATTAGCACGAGTCGAAAAACTTATGCATTGTCGACAGATGAGAAAATTAGATATAGTATAATAATATTACAGATATGTATTAATAAGAATAGTTATTTTAAACAGAATGTGATCAGTGCAACGTAGGTGAGATCACTAAGTTCTGTCAAATTATCCACACTGCTTGTGCTTGATCTTGGTAAGGTTCGGAATACTGGTCGAGATTTAGAGACTTTCCAGATGAATGATACGTATTGGAATCAGTGACATTTCATCCCCCCAACAAAACACCTGAAATTCGATCAGACCTGTCCTGAAGAACGAACAGAATGATATAGGAGTCTTAATAATTTCGACCAAATAACTCAAGGGTTTTCTGTAATGCATTTATTTTAAGATATTGGGGTATTTACAATAGAGCACTATGAAAAGATTAGACGGTTTAGCAATACATCATAATTGTATCCTAATTATTTATGTGATGCTGTCGAAAGTTTTATAAATGCTCTTGTTTTTCTCAAAAATGTCTGAACTCATGATATGAAATGTGGTATAAATGTTATCAAGTCAAATTTGTTCAGCTGTTTGAACCACCCAAATTTCAAGGATGAGCGACCTGGTCACAAATCTAGGTCGTCGTCACGGTACCGACCTTTGGTCACGTTAGCGTCAAGCGAAACGCTATTGGTCGGTGTGTAGGTTATTGGTTTATACATGGCCCTGGTATTTTAGTTCGTCCGTTCGCGGGCTAACTGCGAATTAGGACATGGCTTCTGTGGATCGAGGGGATGTGGGCGATATTGACGCGCTTCTGAGGGCTGCAGAGATTTTAGAGAAAAAGTTGTATTCAAAAGGTATTTGTCGGGGTTTTCAAGTATAGGTTTTTTTTCAGGTGGTTATGGCACGGCTGACACACTTCGAAATATTAACGTGGCTCAGTTTCTGGAGTGGTTAAGTACCGGTGACGAAGGTGATGGTAATACCTCTATGGATTCTAAAATGTAGGTCGAAGGTTAATCATTTATCTTCTTTAGTTCTCCAACTATGCATGTAGAGCTAGCGAATCTCATACAAATGTCAGGATGTCAGAAAATCAGTGACTTACAGACAGTATTCGGATCAGCCCGCCAATTAGTTGTAAGTGTGTATACCGTCTGAGGTCTATCAGATGCCTAAATATTTATATACCTAAACATTGTTCGTTACATTCCCGTCTGAAACTCAACTTACCAACCTCCGAAGTAAATTCAAACGCCACACTTTTCAATTTAGACACGACACATATTTTTATAAATATAAAAGTAGAACATATCTTTATTAAGACTCCAAGTTGTGATTTTCCCACATTATAGGTTCTTGTGATCTATGGCAATATAATATTGGGCCAGAATTATTTTGATTACGTTGGTTACACTGCCGTAAGTCTGACCCAAGTATGGTTTTATGTTTCACGTCTTACAAGCAAACCAACACAACATAAGTTGTCAACATATGTAGTGCATATAAAATGTGGAATTTTTAGGTTGCATCTTCCCTACGATTCAGATTTCAGCACTTCACTTCGTATGAATGTTAATCTGCAATACAAGGAAGTTCATGTTTTATAGACACGTGGTTCCTTAACTGTTAAAGCGCACACTTCAGTATTCGAACCGAAACATTTCATACGTTCTAAATGGTTATGGCTCAAGTAGGAGCTTTCGCTGCTGATTCCTGCGGGTTGGTTTAGGTGCTGAGGTTATCGATAGAAAATGAGTGGTTAGTGCGGTCGAGTGCCTTTTGAAAATTGGGATACATCTTGGCTTTTAACATGGATCTTGCCCCCATGGCGAAGTTTACCAGTACATCTACCACAATTGGTTGGTTCGTGATACTGGTGCGGTCATTCTTAAGGGTGTTGGTTCTCATAGTTCACAATAAGTCAATATTGCATATAAATTCGCTCTTTATCTTTTCTTAAGTATCTAGCCTCAATATTATTTCGTGATTTTTACTTGAATCCATCCCTTCTCAAATCATATTCTCTGACATTTTGTCGTTTGTATTTTTATACTACTTATATTTCACTAAATCTGCTATTCATCTCGGTATGGTATGTTAACCTGGACTGACCACATCTAGACATCTATTGTGTTGACTTTCTAACTTCTTGGAACAGTTATAATTAGGTTCAATTGGGTTTATTAACGCAAGTTAATCTATTAGGCCATCATAAGTTGTAGCCTTTATCGACCTAGAGGGTAGAAGAAAGTCAATATATTCTCTATGTCGGCACACCAGTAACAAATGTGTTTGCAATAATTTTTTTGTTACCACTATTAATTCATCTAATGTAGACGTCTTAACTCATCCTTGATTAAATATAGAGCATATCAAACCATTGTTGACGGGCTTTTAAGAGTTCTAGTGGTTGGATGAAATAAAGCTGTATGAAGATATATCTAAGTAATAAACTACGTTGTGTAACGTGCATGATGTAGCTTGGTTTTAAACTAGAGACTATGGTGTTTATACTTGAGACCATAAACCACGTAAGAAAAGTAACTAGTAATTTATGTGGTTCTTGGTGGACTATGCGAGCATAAATGTACAAAATCTCTTGAGGTCATCAAAAACCTATTATTCATTTCAAGGTTCCCGTTATCATCTTTTTTTCCACTCACGAATCACTTTTTTGTTTTACTTCTGAACTTGACCAGTTTAGCCAATAAATTATTGTCCTAAGATTTTTACTTGTTTAATATTGTTTCTTAGTATACTGTACACTAGCGTTGGTCGAAAAAGTTTGCATTTTGATCGAAATAATCAGAGCTTTGTTTATCTGGTTTCGATAGCTAAGAAGATTTTTAGGATCTATAGACTTTTCAATAAGGTTACCGAAGTGTTCATCCTGTTATCCTGAAATAGACATAAACAGACCAAACCCTTAAAATCATTGTGTACCTCGCAGGGTTATATGGTTCAAAACGTACCAATTGTATTACCTTTAATAAAAATTATAGTCTGAATCCGAACCTTAATATATAATCTACGGATATACTGCTCTCATGTAACATTAATGGTTTAAACGATTCAGAGGTTCGGCAAACCGTAATATTCATAATACAATTACGGTGAACTTGTTAATCTGTTTGTGCGCCTATAGAGTACAGTTTATATAACAGAGACGGATTCTGATTTCAGAAATAACTTCAAGTGTTAAGGTATTATTGGGGTGAAAACATGTCACTAACCAATGCATGATCCAAATACTCAACATACAATGGCAAGCCTCCAGCATTTACTGTACCCTTTAAAACCTTTGTCGATTCTAGATTAAAAGGATATTTACTTAAATCAAAACCCTAACCGTTGCTGCTACCTTGACGTAGTGGTTGAAATTGCCTACCGTGATAAACCAATCAGGCTACAGTGCCTGGAACAATCGTTCCTCAAGGTCGTACCATGTCAAACAGGTTAGCTGAAGAACGGTAAGACTAAAAGCAGCAAACCACTGTAGACTACAGTGGTATGATGGCAATAAAGTGTTCCTCTCAGACAACAAGCATAACAGTGATGCTGTCTTCCTACAGACGATCAGTGGGGTTAAAAAAGGTCGACCTTAAAAATGCACACCTCGCTTTATACCACGGATATCCGTTTCCATTTGTAACGTCTCAACAAGTATATAGCTAACACAAAAATTAGCACCAAAAAGGTCATGTGTGATCGGCCTCAAGTAGTTATCCCTTGGGCACTGCGGTCACGCTCTCAGGTCACTAAGACCAACTATAACCCTATTCATTTTACAGGCACCTTTAGAGGAACCCTTCCATGGTGTGTAAAATCGAGAAGTGCTAACCACCCTCATACCTCAAACAGTACTCAAGACCACTGAGTCAAAATTAACCACTTGGATATTAGAATAATCACTAAACAGCCAGTCAGCTACAACATAGGACCAGACATATACATGCATCGGTCCAAGTAACCACACCTCATTAGCACAACAAAATAAACACCAAATCCACAGAAGTAGTTACTTCGATGGTAGTAATATATAAAAGAAAGATTGCGTATAGGGATGTAATACAGGAATAAAGAATTAGTTCGTAGAAAGATAGGTATAAAGTAGTTTTAGTCTTACAGTTTAGGGGAAGACAAAGAGTGTATACACCTACGCCATTGTGATCGATTCTGAGCAATGTCACTCAGAGTCTCCAACCATTGGTCACGGTAGTCATGCGGACCCCAACCAAGTAGTCTGCATCTACCAACGTGGCTCAGACCAGAAGTTAGTGACTTTATGGACTGGTGCCACGTTTTGGTTTGGTCGCTCCTAACTTTCATCCATCCATCTCCAACACTAGTCAGCATTGCGAGCCGTCGCAGTCGATAGTTGGGTATGTGTAGTATGTGGCTCAACCATCTCAGTCGATGAAGATTCACAACCTCATCAACTCATTTACCATCATTCGGTAACACCCTGAATCTAACCTCACTATTACTTACCCAATGATCCCAACATATGCGAGCAATATTTCTAAGAAATCTGTGATCAAATACTAGTAGCTTACGAGTATCTTCTACCCTTAATGATCACGGTTCGTAGCCGTAGAGTAGAACAGAGTGAACTGCTTCACAGTATACTCTTTTCTTAATTGATATACGGATGTCTCGTCATCACCATAAGTGATGTAAGTTGTCAAAAGCCAAACAAGATTTTTGGATCTATGCAGAGATTTCCTCAGATAACAACCCATATTCGTAAGATATTTCTCGTCAGTAGTTGTTGCACAAACGCAATCGATCTCTATCTTGTTTCTCTGACATTACTTCCTCTATTTGCTCCTTTTTCACTTTAACTCGTCTTATTTGACTGTTACCTTCATATTGTCGGTATTTTTATTCTCACTGTTTGTTTTGCTGCTGATGATATAGTGTAAATTATTAGCATGCCGTTCAATGATAAAATATGCGATTCAGTAATAGTAGTAAAAGAATTAGTGCAACTGTAAAAATATTGTTATTGAAAAGCTGACTGAAAGGGCTTAATGTAGGGAGTTACCAGGGGTTTACTAGTTAGTTTTCTAAGGTTGACTTCGTTTTAAATCGGTTTCGGTGTAAGTGCATTAAATTGTCTTGCTTTTACTTTTAACCAGGGTTTGCTTCCACGATTTTCCGTCCTTTATTTCATTTATTTTTACTTCCACTCCTGTTTACCTTCTTTAGTGTCCTTGTTTTTACTCGTATTTTCCCTCTCCTTGGTCAATTTTATTTGTATTGAGTTTAACACTAGCGTTTTAAAAACAGTAGATTTTTGTGCCTAATACAACGTTCTCATTTAGATTTCCGTGAAAATTATATTCCGTCTCTTTCTGCACTGGCTTCCATGAACATTGAGTCAACAAACTGTCCTACCAGTCCCTAAAATGTTCCACTCTACCAGTTTCGCAGGCCCTTTAAAATGCACCAACGTAGTTCCCTTATGCTCTACATAAAATTTACCAGTTTAAAATATTCTTTTTAGCCTACCAAATCAACTCTGAGTTATTCAGATGGTGATCCGGTGTTTACATATCATCCTGATACTTGGAAGCAATGTACTGCATCTCATTTAAGACCGGATTCTGCTTCTTCGAAGTTGCCACAAAGTCACTGTCGTGTCCTCACAGCTGCTACAGGTGTCACTCAATTATCAGAACCATTTTCAGTTGGAGGAATTGGGACGACAGATGAACCGGATGGATTGTCCAACACAAGTGGTAAGTTTTCATGTTGGCTGCTTTTAATACTTCACATTTTGAAATATTACTTAAATGAGAAACATGTTCCTTTAATAATATCGTAATAGACAATTTTCGGTCATATGCAGTGCAGTGAGGAAACGAATTTATCAACTCTACAGTCCGACCACTTGAAATCGTCTTATCCTCCATCCCTACTGACGCTACTATGTTGTGATACGACTTAAAATCAAAGTTATTCTGCTAGTTGAATTGATAAAGTTTCCCACAAACAGCCAGTAGTGCCAATGATCATGTTTTATCATTTTGAGAAGAGGCAACAAATGTCAATTATGAAAACGTCTTACCTTAAGCGTTCTTGTATTGACAATGAGTTTCTCTAAGAATTGAAGAGCACTGTACAAACGGTATCACTTCTAAAGATACCCAAATAAAAAACCTTAAGCGGATATTCACTAGTTTCTACTCCATTATTGAATAAACCGATACTGGTTATCAAATTTCTTTTTAAGGTAATTCGAAAAATAAGGTGAGAAAGTGATAATCACACCGCGCACTTCTACCATTACATGTTACTCACCAATGAACTTTCTCCATAATCAACTTCTATCTCTCCATGTTTCTTTAAATTTCTTGGTCCCCCCCATATTCATAGATTTTATGTCATTGATTCGAAATTACGAGGTTGTACCCCTAAGTTCGTTAAACTCTCTAAATAGACTAACAAATGGGCTGGTACATGGCATACAAATTCATGAATGTAAGTCTCCACATCCCAAGTCAGGATAGCGAAATGAAATTAATTAGACGATAACCAAAGAATTAAAAGTAATCCTATTGATAATAGTGATAAAATACAGTCAAACGTAACAAATCGAACTGGGGAGTGGGGGGGAGGCACCGAAAAAGATGGTGAACGATTGCGTTCGTGCAACGGTAACCGTTGTTGAATCACATATCCTATAGTATTCAACCGTTGATAACGATTATGCCGAAAATACAGTTAGACAGCATGGATTTTCTTACACGACTCAAGTCAACGGATAACAACTTCGTCAATTGATGTCATGCTTTTGCTCCAGTTAACAATATTTCCCCTACATAGTATCCTAGCCAGTATAGTGCGTCAAGAAAGGTGGTGTCTATGTATAACACTTTCAAACGAACTTGATCGATGACGCTGCATTACACCATAAACCAGTGCTTTTCATTTAAAATAAATTTCATATACAGTCACCCTAAAAACCAACTGTGAGAACATATGAAGTTCACGCACACCCCATGCATTTAGAAATCACGTTTCACAAATGTACTATAGTTGATATAAGTTTGGAAAATTAAGCATCCTTTTGAAGTTTTCTCTGCCATATCACTTATGATATATGGATGCCATTGAAGTTAGAGTACTGACACAGACAGTAGTTTTTGCGTCACCTCATACAGAGTAATGAATACAAAAAGTGTTACACAACATCACTGGTTTTCAAAATGCTTAACCTTGTTGAGGATGTCTGAGCGATGACCTTACTTTTGTCTGGTTTCGTGAAGCAGACTACCACGAGACTTGTCGATCATTGTTATCAAGTGCTCCTTTTAAGTCATAAAATACAACCTCAATTTTACCTCAGTAAGCATGCCCTTATTTCAGAGCTTGTGGATTAAATGCTAAGCCTGAAGCATACCTGGTTTTCCTATATTTGTCGTCCTCGAGTTCCCATTGGTAGCTGATCAGTTTTGAATGTTAAGATCTTGGAGATGATATAAACCAAATTGATTTCCCTATGGTTATCACTGGAAGATTCGTATTTTCTTGCAAATTGTAATGATTATGAATCGAGGCCGGCTAGATATGGTTACTGTATCTCTCTAATCATCATAAAGAAACACCTGGAACTAAATTATCATAGCCTGCCGCTCTCCCATAGTTAAAGTCACTTATATTCTGAATTCCTTTAACAATTGAAGGTGAAACCGAAGATTAACCTCAAGCCTGTTTAATTTTCCTTTCCGTCTTTCCAATCACGTAATTTAACAGTAGATCTATAAAAAAACTTTTCCTCGGGATTTTTTGACTAACTGTTAACTTTTTCAGTAGTTACCTTGTTACTGTATTCGTACTTTTAATTGCGTACTCTTTAACTGTAAATTGTTCTGTTTGCACTATAGAAAGGACTGTATTTCCGTACATACTAAATATTATTTATGAAAGTAAACTGCCTAGTTTATTCCAGACCAGCCTGTTTCTTTAAATTGTTATTCTGTTTTTTTTTCTACCTTTTTTTATAATGAAGTACATTTCCAGAATATGTACTATGAATTTATTTTTAATCCACCTTTCACTAAAAGCACAATGTATTCTTTTGACCTCATTATTCCATTTGAATAAATACGTTTGATTATTTTTCATATTCGATGCTTAGACTTATATATGATAAATGTAAGTTTTGTGAATCAGTGGTTCATTGCATATCATGCGCTAAACCTGCAATACCAGCTTGTTAAAAACTACCAAGGAAAGTTGAGAGCGCTTGTCAAAACTGATGGAAATAACGCTCTCATCGACTGAACTCTCGGGTATTGATCTCCTACCAGGAGGTCAACTTATTGACTTAGAATACGCAGATGACATAGTCCTGTTTGGTGAAATGCAGTCTTTTGTTAGCACTGAGCAACAATGCTAGAATGTTTGGGATGCGCTTCTCTCCCTCCAAATGCAAGTTGTTGCTTCAGGACTGGTCTGCGTCAACACCTGAACTAAGGATAGGGGGTGAAGTGGTCGAACGCGTTGACAACTTCACTTATCTTGAAAGTCTGATCAGCCCTAATGGGTTGGTGTCTGACGAAATCTCAGCACGGATTCGAAAAATCACTTGGCCTTTGCCAACTTACATCATCTATGGCGAAGGCGAGATATCCGTCTATCAATTAAGGGACGAGTATACTGCGCGGCAGTTCGTTCCGTCCTTCTATACGGCTGCGAAACATGGCCTTTAAGAGTAGAAGATATTCGTAAGTTACTAGTATTTGACCACAGGTGCCTTAGAAATATTGCGGGTATCTGCTGGGATCACCGGGTAAGTAATAGTGAGGTTAGACGTAGGGTATTAGAGAATGATGGTAAATCAGTTGTTGAGGTTATGAATCTTCATCGACTGAGATAGTTGGGCCACGTGCTTCGTATGCCTGAACACCGATTACCACGACGCGCAATGCTACCCGGTGTTAGGGATGATTGGAAGAAAGTTAGGGGCGGCCAAACCAAAACGTGGCACCAGTCCATAAAGTCACTAACTTCTGGTCTGAGCCATGTTGGTAGATGCAGACTGCCTGGTTGGGGTCCGCGTGACTATCGTAACCAATGGTTGGAGACTCTTGGTGACATGGCTCAGAATCGATCACAATGGCGTAGGTGTATATACTCTCTGTCTTCCTTAAATTAAGAGATTAAAATCACTTCAAATCTTTCTTTCTAGGAACTAATTCTATCTTCCTGTACTATCTCCTTATACACACTCTTTCTTCTATGGATTACCACCACTTTATTAACTACTTCTATGAATCTAGTGTTCATCTTGTTGTGCTAATGCGGTATGGCAACTTGGACCGATGCATATACGTGCCTGGTCCTATGTTGCAGCTGACTGACTGACTGACTTGTCAAAACAAATCATCCCTCAAACTGTAAATCACATGACGAGCTTATTATTACTTTCCCGTTTATTGAGACTCGTTTATTTAGTGTATTGAGAGTCAAACCTAGCTCTTATCACTTCAAACTCTATGTTGCCAGTCTCCGATAATCGGCTATAAGAAAAAAAGGGTATCAGTAGTCACAATAACTTATCGAGTACTCACCACTGGGTTTCAATCCGACCATTCACTAAAAAATTATTTTCTGTCTTTCAGTCATATTCCGAAAGTAGCCGTTACCAATTCAATTTAAATGGACATAAGCTTTCACTGTATACTTATACTACAAAGACATTTTTCTTAAAATATCAGTCATTTGATGAAAGACTTATTATTTCTGAGAATTAAACATCTCAGTTTATTCATTATCTAATTTAAACATCTCATTTCTATCAAGGATTTTTAGAAAATGTCCATTTACATTTTCCGTTACAGATGATGTTGGTATGGATAGTTCAAGTCAGGACAGCTATTCGGGGAATACAGCTCCCGTTCGTGCGAATACTGATGTTATGCACATTTTGAACTCATCCCTTGGTTCTGAATTTAATGGCAATGTGGATCCTGGAAATAATAAATCTCAGTATTCTAATTGTCGTTTGAGATCAGCTCTACTAACACCTTATTCTCCTGGTTCTGAAATACATTCCAATAACAGTGTTAGGCACTTGAATCATTTTTTGAATAAGGATCTCTATGCTTCTAACATGCCGCTTCAACAGAGACCAGTTACCGAAAGTATTCAACCCGAAATATTTCCTAATAGCACTTCATCACAACGACTACTGGAAGTTCTTTCTAGGACATATGAAAATTATGATGATTTAGATCAACGTAACTCCAAGTTTCGAGCATCTGAAAGCCCTCAAAGTACTCCAACTGTTCATCAACAAACTTCCTGGAGTGCACCTCCGTCTGTCTCATCCAGTAGTTGTGCTACTCCGGATAAAGAATGTTGCGATTTACCAAATCAAAGTGAAATTCCCCAACCAGTTCGTCCAACACGTTTCAGTTGTTCAAGTTTACCTGTAAAGAAACGCAAGTTGGATTGGAAACAATCAGATAATTGGTTCCCTGATTTACAGTCACCTGATAAGCATTTATGTAAATTTAGGAAAACTCCCAACATTAATTCGCCAGATCTTGTTGGTAATACTGGTTTTATGACGACACTAAGTCATGATAATCCCACATCCTGTTCATCGAGTGGGAGTATCCCAGAAAGGCGGAAATCGGTTGGTGGTATATCTACATCGGACAATTCTCAGCATTCTGTCACTTCGAAAACTACTATTCCTCTGTTGAGAACTTGTTCTGTGCCTGTAAACAATGAACAGCGTATGAGTAAGTTTCTAAATATTTATTTATTCATATTTATTAGTGTTCAACGTTTTTACTTTAAATCAATGTGAAACAATTAAATATATGATCATACTATAATAAAATTCCTTAGAACAGCGCTGTCTAAACCCATTTTATTACTCAAGGCTTTCTATTTGGATCTCTATTTATTTATTTGAACACAAATATTGGTACAAAGGGGCACCAGATACATATGCGGCACACAATAACAATGAGGATGTAAGGTGCGTATAAGAAAAAAGGGAACAATGAAGAACAGAAATTAGTGTATGACAGTGAAATAATAACAATGGGAGAAGCAGTTCAGTTAGCAAAGGTACAACCAGAAAGGACTTTTTCGGTTAAAGAAGTTACGTCCATTTTTTATGAAGGAAGTAAAGTAAAGTTACAGCAGGATCACCACTGGCTTCTATTCTGAGCTATGTCTGATGACGTCTCTAACCCCTGTGTTGCATCATCTGTCGGTTCCCAACCAGGGAGTCGTGAAGAACCAACAGAAGCCAGCCCTTTGCAGCTTTCTTTCATACCACGACACCATGTCATACACAGAGTCGTCTAACATCCTCAACTCGGAGAGACCATCTTTAAAAAGGATCGGAGGGAAGTCACCTGGGTCCGGTGATTTACAGCGCTTCAAGAGTTGGAGTTCCTTGCGAACTTCCACCCCATTTCATGAATTAGTTATCACAGGCCATGGAGGGGACAGGACAGTCTGATCGATGTTGCCGGGGTAGCGCACCAGTTTAAGTGCCCATAGTCCAAGACGTCGACAGATATTAGTGATTGGCATCCTGGCTTCTCGGTCCTCATGCAAGCTTTGTCTAATTTCATTGCGTAACAGCCGTCGTTTGTGGTCAAACTCACGGTCATCCGGAGTGGACCGACGGGCTTCAATTAGTTGTAAGGATCCTGAAGAAACCCAGTGCTTATAAACGGGACTTTGTGCGAAGTCAAAAGCGGATTTACTCGCCATTGTCATTTCGTCCTGCAATCGCAACCAATGCTCATCTATACGTTCCGGTGGGACGTTAGCTAGCCTTGCACCTAGCTCGGTTTGATATTTAGTTGCAACAAAAGCTGCAACCAATTTACTGACATCGATCCGTTTAGGACGAGGGATTTGTTGACCACTGAAGAGTAAGGTAAGATTAGCGCAAATAAAGGAATGATCAGAGTCCAGATAGGTACTCCAAAAGGAGCAGCAGTCTTGTACACAACCACGCCAGCGGTAGCTGGTCGCGATGTGATCAATCTGAGTCCAGGCTTGAGATGCAGAGGGAGGACGCCAGGTGGCACATCGGCGATGACTATGCCGGAAGTTAGTGCTAGCTAGAAACAGGTTGTGGTCTGCGCACAGTTGCAGTAGACGGTCCCCGTTATCTAACCGGCGACCAACAAGTTCCCATCGGCCGCCTAAACGTCTCTCCTCTGTGCCTAGACGCCAGATCTGAGCATTCAAGTCTCCGGCTAGTACTGCAATATCTGTCGGACGCACTTTCTGTAGAAGAACAGTTAACTGGTGGTAAAACTCATCCTTGATCGCACTCAGGCTACAATCTGTCGGAGCACAGGGTCCCCGAATAAACGAACGTGAAACAAGCTTTTCGAAGTTACAGCTGGAGAGTGAATGTGTGGTACTTCACTAGTCTTGAATACGGGTCGCGGATAGCCAACCGACGTAGATATTAAAACTTTAAAGACACAATCAACCCTATATTTTGTCCGATCTGCTGACGTATATATGGTTTAAGACTGTTTCAGTATTCGTATTCGGTGGTAGCATTCAACTTTCGAAACAGTCAGTGACTCGAGATAGTTTAGATAGGCGAACTTCTGTATGAGTTGAAAAATAAGGATACACAAAGTTGGAATAAAAGAGAGTAGATAAGTGACGTAGTATATAAGAAAATAAAAATGAATGTTTTCAAATGGATGTGAGTTGTTTGAATTTTAATCGGAGCGAGAACAGTATTTCCATTAATTATTGTCATTTCATTTTATTTGTGTGTTGGTTGTGATATTGCTTGTGTGCCCAGACCGAAGCATAGTAGTTCTCGTTTTCTAAGTGAGGTACACACTTTTCGTGTTTACAAATTTCTGTCCAACATAAGGTTAAGGCTCCCTTGTTTGTCCCATCACAGTCTAAATCTGCTCGTCATGAAGAAATGCTGTTCGTCTCCAAACCCCACTTTCATTATCCAGTCGCAAAAAACAGATAATATAGCTAAGATTCCACCCCTAATCTGATTTTTACAGGTTGTTCGATTGTGAGTTGAACTAAGTAGATAATTTATAAGATTATATTCGTAGTTGAATTTAGTTTATATATCGTGAAAGTAATGACAAACAACATGGGTGTTTTTTTAGAAAAATGCACAGAATTATCTAAATTGCATGAGCCACCCGGTTAATCAGCTGTCTACGCATATGCTAAGGCCGATTAATCGCATGCATTCATATTGATCGTTTGGCTGTCACTTGGCCTATGTTTTCAGTAATTCCCATGACCTTGTATTTATTGCTAGTGGATAATTTCTAGACATATTGAACATACAACCGCCTGTCTGTAACACTAATTCTACATATCGATCAACCTGACAAGACGACTATGATTGGTTAACTTATACTCAGGTGGGGGTGTCGCTTAAATGCACACGTTGCCAAACTCACAGCCTACTAAATCAATCCCATGAGATGTCCTTTTCTGAAGTCTTCTGACACTGAACCAATTTTAGGACCTGTCATCAAGCTAAGCGTAGTAAGTAGTTTTCCTAACAAATTGCAATTGGTTAGCCAACCTTCCAAACTCTGAGAATATCTATCCGCAATTTCCAACTCCAAAAAACTCGATCTCTCAGACAGTGAAGATAGATGACATTAAGCGGGTAAAGGATTCAACTATCTATATTTCTTTACTGCTGGTCGTGTATGATCGGCCTCAAGTAGTTATCCCTTGGGCACTGCGGTCACGCTCTCAGGTCACTAAGACCAACTATAACCCTATTCATTTTACAGGCACCTTTAGAGGAACCCTTCCATGGTGTGTAAAATCGAGAAGTGCTAACCACCCTCATACCTCAAACAGTACTCAAGACCACTGAGTCAAAATTAACCACTTGGATATTAGAATAATCACTAAACAGCCAGTCAGCTACAACATAGGACCAGACATATACATGCATCGGTCCAAGTAACCACACCTCATTAGCACAACAAAATAAACACCAAATCCACAGAAGTAGTTACTTCGATGGTAGTAATATATAAAAGAAAGATTGCGTATAGGGATGTAATACAGGAATAAAGAATTAGTTCGTAGAAAGATAGGTATAAAGTAGTTTTAGTCTTACAGTTTAGGGGAAGACAAAGAGTGTATACACCTACGCCATTGTGATCGATTCTGAGCAATGTCACTCAGAGTCTCCAACCATTGGTCACGGTAGTCATGCGGACCCCAACCAAGTAGTCTGCATCTACCAACGTGGCTCAGACCAGAAGTTAGTGACTTTATGGACTGGTGCCACGTTTTGGTTTGGTCGCTCCTAACTTTCATCCATCCATCTCCAACACTAGTCAGCATTGCGAGCCGTCGCAGTCGATAGTTGGGTATGTGTAGTATGTGGCTCAACCATCTCAGTCGATGAAGATTCACAACCTCATCAACTCATTTACCATCATTCGGTAACACCCTGAATCTAACCTCACTATTACTTACCCAATGATCCCAACATATGCGAGCAATATTTCTAAGAAATCTGTGATCAAATACTAGTAGCTTACGAGTATCTTCTACCCTTAATGATCACGGTTCGTAGCCGTAGAGTAGAACAGAGTGAACTGCTTCACAGTATACTCTTTTCTTAATTGATAGATGTATATCTCGCCTTCTATAGGTCACCTGTGGAGATAAATGTGAAGTTGAATTCATGATTCAATCTAACTAGACCTCCCTTTAAAATATGGAAATGATGAACTGCCGTTTCGTCATAGTATTGGAATTTTCATCAGTGCGTATCCACAATTTCGCACTTGGGACTCGAACCCTAACTTAGATCGCTCAGCCGGCATCCGACGGTGTTAATGTTTAACTCTACCCAATCCATTTTCTTGCGTAACTCTTTATTCATTGTCTGAGGTGGATGTCTGTCTTGTACCCTACATGGATTGAACTCCACTGATCACGACTTCTCACTAGAACTCCAGAAAATCCATTTCGAAGCTACTCAATAATGAGCGCATGATTATCAGAATGGGGATTCGCAGTGGTCGAAGGCCCTGTGTTCGAAATACTCACGGGATCGTGGACGCGCACTTTCGAGGAGTTCCATACTAGGATGAAACGGCTGTTTTGGTTTTCAGTGGTTTACTCAAGAGTTCAACTGATAAAATTATTTTTAGTAGTATTATTCTAAGTCAAGAATATAAACTCTGTAACAACTTGATGTGATTTAGGTGAAGTATTTTGTGATTATATAATAGATAGTATACTGAAAACCAACAGAATTATTTTTATTGTTACACAACCTAGAAATCACAGCTTTGTGGCTAGTTTATCCCATAAAACCACTTCGGACATAGTATACGTACATTGGAATGTCAAATAAAATAAATAAAAGGTATTTACTTCATCAGCTTTGTGATACCGGTCTCCATAACCAGTATTTTTCTTTGTGACATAAAAGTGTTTTGAAAAATGTGAAGACTTAGTTTTGTTGTGTAATATTAATTTCGAAGTCACCATAACTCTATCACTCATCATATTTTTTTGGCTTTATCAGTCGTATGCATATAAACATATCTTGAACATTTAAATGCAGTTACATTGTACAATAATATGTGGATATAAGGGGCAAAATAATTTAAAATAATAGCAATACTAAGATAGAGGAATCTATACACCATAGAAATTCAGATTAAAATAAATGAATTTTTGCTCTATGACGACTTCTAACAGATCAGAGGTTAAGATAAAATAATTTTAATGGGGTTATGTTTTCTGAACTGAAAGGTCCATTCGGGAAATTTTCTTTATCTTACTAGACATACTTACTAGCACAAACTTCTGATGGATGTGAGCTATTCATATTCCTCTAAATATGACTAACATCTCGTTTTGTTAACGCGAGATTTGATTGATTGTTGGTGTAAACACTTGTTCTGTTATTGTCTACAATTCTATTTTGATTTGATGTTGACAAAACAAGCTCCAAGTCATATGTGAAGAAATTCAAATAGCTCACTTTAGTTTGAATTTAGTACTGATAATGCTGTCTAGAAAGAACGAAAGTCTCGCTATTATTGATTTAACCCCTAATCTAACCGTGAAGTAGGTTTACGAAATTTTTTTCATTTAATTCCTATTCGATTACATAGTTCAAATAGTCGATCATAGTAATGATGATAACTAAGTAACAAATTTTTCTTCACTAATAACCATAATCACTGATATACTCGATTGTGATGATCATTCTATAATTATCACTAGTGTGTTCAAATGGTTTCTCCAATAACTGTGTAAATCAATCACATTGATGATAATCCTTCAAAGTTTTATATCTAGATTGAATGAAATATATAGTATTAATGTCAACTTGGCTACTTTTTAAAGTGATGTAAATTCGTATCAGACCCGAAGTTGCTTACCTTCCTACTCATATATCTGAATAACCTTACTGTTAGAAACAAAACTATTATTATTTAATATATATTGTGATCAGTGTAATCTAAATATGCTTATTTTTTTCTATTTTGTTTCATTAAAAACTATGCTAATGCTCGTCATTGCTTCACTGTTTCTTTTCCAGTTCATTCATCAAAACTTTTAGATAATTTAACATTTTCTAAACATTTAATTGAAGAGAAAAAATCGTTAATAAAAACGCCTTATCAAAATAATTTTTCTGTTCTTACTCGTACACTTACCGGTTCGGATAATATTAAAAATCATATTAACAGTTCAAAACAGTATTCCTGTGAGTTGGCAACAATGTCAAATGGTTCGGATTTTTCAAAATTATCAAAAGATAATATTTTTAATAGTAATGATAACAAGAAGAGGAAATATGCCACTCTTTCCAGTGTTGATTTATGTACGACAACGGTGGGTAGCGACTATTATCCCGGTGTTATTAATAATAATAATAATAATAATAATAATAATAATAATAATAGTGATGAAGACTCGTATATTTCAAAAATCAGCCATTCAACGACATCTTCCACTATTCATTACAATGCAAGGAAACCGATAACAGCGGATTTATTATTTCGTTCACCACATAATACCCATAAACATCGTTCTCATACCCATAATAACAATGACAATAGTAATAATCAATTAACACTCTCTAATACCTCTGACAACATTCATAATCGTAATGAAATATTTAATTATACAAATGAAGTTCATCAACATCATTGTTTCTCAAAACTACAAACTGCTAGAACTGTAGAAATGAATGTATCCAATATAGATAATAATAATAAATTAAATGGATCCACACCGGTGGTAGAACGCAAACACAATGGTCTTATACAAACCATACCGCATAATGAACATAACAATACTGTATCACATCAATTATCTCATACACTCAAGGAAGATACTGTTTATAATTTTAATTCAATGTGTCAGAAACAATCTAACAATTCGGATAATAGTAATGATATCATATCAGTTCCAAACAAGAATAATCTTGTTAATAATTATCAGCAATTATCATCTGTTATTAGTCAGTCAACAATGCTTCCTGACTATGCTGTTACTACTACCTCTACTCCAACAACAACTACTAATGTTATTAGTCATAATCTTAATACTTATGTGAGTAGCTATTGTTTTCTGTGTTCGATTACTGATGATTTTTTGGGATTTTATTTTCTTGAGAAGTGATGGGAATGGTTTATACATTGAGTTTTCTCCTAGTAAATGTAAAACTTTTGTAGGTTCATCTACTTCAGCTATAAATGTTATCCGTTGTTTCATATAACAAAGAATAATAATAATGGCTTACTACTATTTTATCATAAAGATTTTCGAAGCATTACTCACCGTCTAGTGGCCAACACTGAAGTTAGGAGCAAATTTATTGAAATTATGTGAAATTATTAGACGTTATGTTTTGTTGTTTCACCTTTGAACTATTCTTCATTTCTTTGAAAATAATTGTACAGTCAAATAGTTCGTTCATTGTAGTAGAGCAATGACTCAGTAGTGAAGGCGTTCAACTTTAAGCCATTAAGTAGCAGGTTCAAATCCCTATCTGCCTGTTACGGTTTAGGCAACCTGCTAGTATCACTAACCCTCACGCTTAGAATACGGGTCACCATAGTTCATGTTTATCAAAGTGATTTATTATAAGTCCACGGTACCTAAACAAGGCGAAAAGCAAGATCCGAAAATACAACAGCGAGTGCCAATTTAATCACATTTGATAGAGAAGCTCTGGAAGAGGTGGTAACTTCTACGTAACTGGGCAGCATCATTGGTAAACAAGAAGGATCTGATGTAGACGTAAAGGTAAGAATCGGCAAAGCAATGACAGAACTTCTACAATTGAAGAACATCTAGAACTCGAAACAACCGTCAACCGATACTAAAGTCAGAATTTTCGATGCAGACATCAAGACAATCCTATTGTGTGGATCTGAAACCTGGAGAACTACAATTATCATCAAAAAAGTTGTCCACACAAGATACTCCAGATCGGGTGGCTCGATACCATCAGCAAATAACCTGTGGCAGAGAACAAATCGGCTTCCAACTGAAGAGGAAATCAGGAAAAGACACTGAAGGTGTACAGGGCATGCATTGCAGACATCATTAAACTGGATCACATGTCAAGCCCTAACTTGAAATCCCCAAGACAAGAAAAAGAAACAGACCAAAGAACACATTGCGCCAGGAATTAGAGGCAGACATAATAAGAATGAGTAGCAACTGGGAACAGCTGGAAAGGAGGGCCCGAAATAGAGTTAGTTGGAGAATCCTGTTTAGTTACCTGTGGTGCAAGAGGGATAAAAGGCGTAAGTGAGTAACTGTACCTACCTACTTGTCCAAACTTACATCTTGAACAATGTTTGGAAAAATTTACTTAGATTTTTTATGTAACATATGTTATATGTCTAGTGCTTCACAAAAACATGATTTGCTCTTAGGTTAATTTAGGACAAGCTAAAAATAAAATAGTTATTATAAGCCCATTCTCTTCATTAATCCTGCTAACATGTTTTTATTATATATGGTGTTATCCTCGTTTGAAACTACACATTCAGTAACGGATAGTTAGTCACTCAGTGGGACTTTTCCTTCTCTACGTATCCTGCACTAAAACTCAAAATTCCATATTTCAAGTCTAATTATATTTTATAGGAATCATAAATATGAAAGAATAATCAGGTATATATATTTTTAATGTTTTCCTAGATTGATTCAAGCATCAAAAGTGAATGTACACGTGTTTCTGTAAATACCAGTCCTATGAAATCAATTATGCCCGAATCTACAATCAATAAACCACCTACGGAACAGTTGAAATATTCACATGGAAATTTACCTAATGGTGCTACCACATTATCACCATCATCATCGTCTGTGTTAGCGAATCAAATGAATGTCAACGGTGCACATGTTATTATGATGCTTTCTCCATCTATCACAATCCCGACATCTCTTCATTCATCGTTAACCAACCAGATTAGTACATCATCATCATTATCATCATCGTCAAATGTTCAACAATCTTCTTCCAATTATAATAATAATAATTCTAAAATCATACCACATTCTTCTAATTTTTCTCAAACTTATACTACCCCCGCCATCACTACATCAAACTTTGTAAGTAGTTGTAGTGGCACATCATCTTTTCCCTTACTTTTAATCTCTGCTTCTTCATCGGCCAGTGCGGTTGCATTAGCTGAGGCTGCTGCTTTAGCTACAGGAGTACCGTCGACAAGTTTTGTACCCGTTCCTGTACAAGTCACTACCTATGTCCCTCCACCATCATCAACAACAATCACAACAACACGATCAATAAAAAATGAAGAGCATAATGACAAGTTAAATAATCAATGTAAAATCTCTAATTCATTGAATAATGAAATTAACAACATTTCAAATCAACATTTTATTCTGTCAGTCATGGTGACTGATAATCATGTTCATAATGATAATAATAATGATAATAATAATAATAATAATAATAATAATAATAATAATAATAATAATAACAATAATGGTAATGGTGATAATCCGAAATCATTTTCAGTTCAAAGAAAAATCCCATTTGTCTTAAGTACACCTAGTTTCCATTCAAATGTCAATAATATTCAAAATGATAGAAATATGATTATTGATGGTAAACAACACCATTCCACTCCATCAGTATTAAGAGATATTTCATTGACTAACACATCTGATGATAACGTTTATGATAGTAAATTGACCCATCAAGCTGTATAATGTCGCTGATGATGATAAAAACTGAGGGGGGATGGGCAGCATGAAAATAGTGTCACTTAATTGATAAAGGAGATGACAAATACTATCTCTATACTTGTAAACTGATAATATGCCTCTATCCCTACTACCATTACTACTGCTTTTATTGCTACACATAGCACAGTAGTATTCAAATAAAGGTCTCAATACTTATCAGTTTATTCCCTCGATCTTCTCATTAACTATTACTTCAACCAAGTGATTTGTTCACCTGAAATAATTCTCTTTTGATCATTAATTTTTTTAGTTTTTCTTCTATGTTTATTCCATTCATCGTCAAAATAATTTCTTTTTTATTTTGATGTGTACGTGTGTTCATGTTTCAATGTTCCTACCATCAACTGTCACATTTCTTCTAAACAAATAAGATCTACTCTTTTTTATTATTAGGTGTCGAATAATTACTAATAGGTTATCATATCACGTTAATTATACATTTTTCAGTTTTCTTTATCGTTTTCTTGTTTTTACAAATTATTTGTATATTTAGGTTTCATTAAGAATCTATCATCATGGCAACTATCATCATTAGTGTTATTATCATTTTTGTGTGACCTCTCCTTCACTACGCGCCTATACACACATTCATCCTACATTTGCTATTTTCTCACCACCACTCTTGTTGTGTTGTTTCCTTCCTTAGACACATGTACGTAGGTATATATATATATATATATATATATATATATATATATATATATATATATATATATATATATATATATATATATATATATATATATATATATGTAAACGGAATATACCTATTGAGACAAAATAAGAAAGATATATATTTGCTAAACTATTTGTTCTCACTTTGTGTACACTATTTTCTGGTATATATTCAGTTGTAGTTTACACAGTATCAATATGTTACATGTAAACACAAAATCCCCTTTACTGTCTTTTCTCTCCACCACTAGTTAATAGGAAAAAGTGAATTGATAGTTTGAACAATCCCACCGTGCTTCTGTCTCCTTTCTTTCTAATTCGTTTATTTCTTGTTTCTTATATGATTTTTCAACATACCACGTTTTACAATTCAATGAGAAGATGGGCAATTATATTATATTATTATCATTTTTTCATGTGTTTGTTTTTTGAATTATTTCTTACTGGACTATTACTACTCTGTGATGGGCGCGGGAACTTCGAGCGATACAATTGTTATACCAAAGCAAAATGTATTAAACATATTAAAGAAACTATGCTTCAAGGAAATGAAATTGCATTTCTCTCTCCCTCTCCTGTTCATCGTCATCAACGCTAGACATCTAAAAACAATATCATATCACCCGGTTCACATATTAGGCTCATATTGTTATCTGATCTATATCATAATGTTTGATTCTTTTATCTCCGTCCTGTTCTCGCCCCCATTCTCCAACTCAAATCACACATGCTAACTTTGGTGTTTATTGTAGACACCAGCTAGTTGTCAGTGATGAGATATTGTTTGTCTCCTCTGCTATTAATTATTTCATAAATGATTACTTGCCATTTTGTTATATTTTTTCAATAAGGGAATTTATTCCTATTTCTACATTTATGTGTGACATCACTGTTTTTTTATTAAAGAAATACAAAATAAGACTTTTCAAGTCCATCATATTTAATGCCGCCACTCCCCTCACTCACTCATCTACTTGTGTTAACACAAAAGGGAAGAAATTCTACTTCTCGAAAAAATATACAGGTAGGTAAAATGATCTGGAATACAGCGTTTACTACGTGTTATTATTGTTTATTCTTGCTAACGTTATTTATCATCATCAATTTACTTGCTCTTTTACCAAATACTCTACACTTCTTGCCTTTTTTTATTAACTAATTGTTGCTATTCCGCGGTAGTTTTCCTCAAACTTCTTTATTTGTTGTCTGTTCCTCATCTTTATGTGTATGTATGCGTGTGGGTAATTTCACGCACATTTGTGTATGTTTATCTGTTTGGTGATTTTTTTAAAACCATAAATTGACGATTACGATGATATTAACGATTTCGGATAATTCTTCATTTTCTCCTCTTCATATTTTTGTCAAATGTGTTAATGCTTTTGTGTGTGTAAGTATGAATGAAATATAAATCATCTTTGAATACAGTAATATTTGTGTTATGGCGTAATGTGATCTGACTATTTATTCCTTAAGTTCAATAAATTTTAAATAGGAAACAATATAGGTTGAAATTTTAAAAACAAGTAATTAGTAGTAACCATCCTAATTATTGTCTATTTGAAAACTGGATATTGGCTGAAGAGTGGTATAAATTCATAAGGGTGTTTACTTTTAGCATTGGAGAATATAGAAGACTGTTAGTTTAGTCCTTAAGGTCTTTTACACCAGCAATTCATGGTTAGATGTTTCAAATAATTTTATTTAAACCACGAACCAATCTAAGACAATTATTGAAAACTTAGAGGCACTGAGTGGCCACTCCATCTTAGTACGAGACTCCTTAGAAGTACGCGTCCATCACCCCACACCCGGTAATCGGACCCAGGACCTCTCGCGTCAACGCTTAAACTCTGGACCACTGGTCTGCTATTCAGTGTTGTACAAGCTTAACTTCAGTCATCCCACCATATTGCGCGGCCGTCTTCCATTGTCTTCGGTAGGTAACCTCACACTAACCACGGTTTAGTTTCACATCTCACTAAAACTCCGGAAATTACTTTTTAAAGCAAATCACTCCGGTTCCGAGGTTTAGGGTGCGTACTGCTGGCGAATCTTAGTCCAGGACGAAAAGGCCTTCTAGGTTCTCAGTGGTTGTCTGATTGGGATCAGTTCCTAATTTCAATTAAATCCAACAACCGCGTAATGGCGTCGAGTAACTGTTGAACTGCACAATCCAATTTTGTCTTTATTGGGCGCTCGATTGACCTGTAAGGAGAGCGACGACCTAAGCTTTAATACTAGGAGTTTGGTAAGGATAGTTGCAACCCATGTGTTTATTTGGACTTCCAGATTTACCTAGACAAAAAGACGTGCATGGTGATCTTTGTCAAATGAATAAATCACTCGCACTAGTCTACTGATGCTTGAATCTCACCTGTTTTGCAGGTTCCAAAAAGCATGTAATTTAATAATACCTTTCTTATATTTAATCATTGTGAATGGTTGGTAACTGACACAATAAATTTAGTAGTTGAATTCATGAGTCAATTGAAGCTAGACCACCATGAAAAACCTGGAAGCACTGGACGGCCGTCTCGTCCTAGTATGGAACTACTCAACAGTGCGCATCCAGCCTCGTGAGATTCGAATCCAGGTGATCTAGCTTCAAATGAATTCAACAACTAAATTACTATAATATCCACAAAACCCCTCTATGAAAATAATAAACTAACGGATAATCAAGCGTAAACTATCAATTGCAACGGGATGATCATTCACAATTCATCAATAAAACCTTTTTTTCTCGACCATCAAGAACTTATATACCATGTTGGTGAGATAGCTAAGTGATTAAAGCCATTGGGTTGTAGTTTTGATTTAGACTTACTCCTACTTTGGTTTGTATAATCGGATATTTGCACTAGCCCTCATATAAAAGTCGCTCAAAGCTCCGAATACGTGAACTTACACTCGATTGTTGTGTTTTTACCTTACACAGTCGGCAATTATAATCGTCTAATAATTCGTCGACTGAGAATAACAAATTTATTATTAAGTGATATTCTTATTTCTAAGCTTCAATTTCAGCTAATTATTGCACACATTTGACTCATCTTGAAACGACTAGTTATTCAACAAATACAAAAATAGTGTTGATTCTTTTATAAGCAAAGATGGATAGTGGCTAGCAGTATTCATATTGTGCCTTGACTTTCTATATTCTTGTTCAGCTGGTTGTTGGGTTTCCCATCAGGATGGTCAGGTACTTTCATGATCACTTCTTTATAACTGATTGCAGCCTCCCATACAGCTGACATTTGTCATCGTCATTGCTATCGTTGGTGGGTGCACAACATTGGATAACATCCATTGTGATCCCCTCATTATTTGTTTCGGAAGATGCTTTGATGATCGTGGATCCACAAGACTCCCACCCTCAAAGTGCTTTACGTGCTTCTTTGGACAGCATCAGAGCAACTCCCTGGGTGTGTGGAGCATGTTCCTCTTCGTGAGTGGAGTACAGCAGCATCTCTCCCGAATCTATCCTTTCCTGTCTAGCTTGAGTCCAACAGGTTTCTCTGATTCCGAGCACATTCAAGTTGTATCTCTTCTTTTCGTAGCTATTTGACTGGTCCTCCTGGTCTCCCACATTGTCCGGACATTCCATGTACCTATATTGATTGCTGCTCTGATTGTTGGGAGGTTCGTCGGCCTCGTGAAATCTGGAGAATCTCGGCTTTCATCATGAAGTGTCCTAATTGTTTTGAATGAACACCCTTCAACTCAGATTGCAGATTTTAAATTGTGTAATTTGTTTACTCTGGTTAGCTTTGTTTTAGCAATGTTGATTTCTGCGAGATGGGTCACTGAGCGCATGCCTAACTCTCCTTGTTTACCCGAGGTTGGGATCGGCAGTAGCCGTTGAAGAGCTACATGCGGGTTTTTATATTCAAATGAGAATTCACAAACTGAGATTGAATTACTCTGTTTTTACGGTAACATTTAATGACCTTAAAACAAAGAAATTAACAAACAAAAAATCACACTAGCCAGACAGTAGCAAAGGTCATTGCTGATATTTGAATTAAAGAAAGTGTCTAAATATAATAACAAAATGACTAGATTACCTGAGCTCTCCTTACCAGTATTTGAATAGTAAAGTAATCATTGATTTATGATTGCTATTTGAAAAGGAAGCAAATTAATTTGTCATTATTTTTTCTACAGTTTTGTTTATTTTACTATGTGAAACAGAAATCAATCCTCATTTTGGTTGACAACAAATGTGTTTAGAATGAGATAAGTTACATCACTCTGTCACAGTTTAAACAATATTGAACGTTTGGAAAATATACATTTATACCATTATTGTAAACTGGAATTGATTCATACAAATTACGCTACTTGAATGTCTAGTTAAAGCTCGTTTTTTTATTCGTACGAAAATTTATCAAATAATGTACCACCGCCAGCTGATAAAAGACGATGAAATAGATCACTTCTTTTTTCCACCCAATTATCTGTAATTTACCAAAACATTAAAGCCATAAAATTCAATTTGAAATGGTTTAGGATTATCCCTTTACTGATCCATTTTTTGACCAAGTGGCTAAGGCGGTAGCATTTAAAGCAAATGGCAGTGTATTTAAGTCCTGGAGTGAACACCAACTATGGAATCCACCTAACGATTTCCAAATAAAATGAAACACGCACCCTGGATTCTACTGCCCACCCTATTCCGCCTATTCCATACCAATTTAGATCAATAAGATTAGTTAGACAAAGTTTTCTTCTAAAAATTTCAAACTTATTATTTAAGAAAGGGACTGTCTTTACTTTTTCCAATAGGGTTCTCCAGTTTATTATTGGCGATAGTATCTTAAGTATTTCCACCATAATGGTGTTTTTCGTCACTGAACACCACTTTTTCGTCCTTGAAGTTGGTTCATGTACTTGGCAACCATTTGGTCCGTGTAAATGCGTACAATAACAATGATAGTCTTTCAATTCCGTCAACCAGCTCAGAAAACACAACATCATTAAAAACAAATTGAGTTAAAGATTTTA